CCGGGCCGGGCTGTGCCAGCTGCTCGCTCTGGGTCTGCTCGCTGGGCTCCGGCTTGTGTTGCCCCATCCCGGGCGCTGAGGGACGCGTGCCGGTGTGGTGCAGGGGAGCGAGGCCGGCTCGAGGGACGCTGTCAAGGCCTGGGGAAGACTCCCGGACCCCAGGCTGGCGTGACCCCCGGCGGGGACGGGGCACCGGCGGAGGGATCCTCGGCCTCCACGATGCCTGGGTGCAGCCTCCTGCCGTCCTGCCTTCAGCCCTGCCTGTGCTTTGATGCTTTGGAGGAAGGCAGGGGGTATCCGGAGCAGACCCAGCTATCGTGGACAGGGGTAGATATTCCCCATTGCAGGCCTATGCCTTCCCCCCGGCAGAGTGTTTTGTCTGTGCGTCTGTCCGTTGAAGGCTGTCCCTGCTTCTCTGGTTGAATCTCTCCGATGGGGTCACCCGCACGCTGCGCTGGCCCCGGGGAGGCCCCAGACGTGGGGTCCGAGGAAACGTGACCCGGGCCCTGCCCGCCGGGTTGGCGCTGTGGAAGCCTGTGGGCAAAGGGCGGCTCTCGGCAGCTCTCCCCGGGGACACCCTGGCCTCAGCCTGTTCCAGAGGGGTCCAAGACGCTGTGTCTTCCCAGCCAAGCGGGGACTGAGGATGCACCCGTAGCCTGTTGGTGAGGGAGCACCGTGGCTGGGCTGCCTGTGCCCCTGGGAGCTGCGTGGGGCAGCGTCTCCTCCTCGCGGGGGACACAGCTGGGCCCCGAGGAGGCTTCGGTGAGGCTGAACACCCCAGGTCGCGGTCCTGATCCTCCTTCCCTGCCGCCAGCCTCAGTCCCCAGCGTCCAAAGGACCTCGTCGCTGCCTTTGCTCGGCAGCGAGTGACCTGGCACGGTACTGCCGAGCCCTGCCCAGGGCCAGTCTGCACTGCTGCACTTGCCAAGCGGGGCCCTCCTTATCTCGCTGCCTCTCGAGCTAATCGCGTTGGCGCCCGCCTGGGCTCCGGCACTGCCTTCGCAGGCCCCAGATAAGGGCATGATTGCTGCAAGGAAGTAAATCATGTTTGCTGCCCTGCACTGCTCGGCTGGCCCGGCCCTGACCGCATCGGCTGGGCACTGGGGGTGGGAGTGGGAAGGGCAGTGGCTCTGGAGCTGCTCCTGCTTCGCTTGCCTTGTTTTCCCCTTGCAGAACTTCCTGCCCCTCCTGGCTCCCCTCTCGTAGCCTCCTTCCGTGACTCCCTTCTTCACTGCTCCCCTGGGGAGGAGAGGGCCGCAGCCCCGGGGGCTCTGCGGGTCCTTTTGCGGTGGGGTGGCATGTGGGCAGGAGGGAGCAGCTCTGCCCTCTGGGCTGCCTCTGTTCTCCCCGCCTTGCGTGTGGCCCTCTGGGCGCTGGTTTTGGGGCTGGGCAGGGATCAGTTCTGAGACCTGTCTTGGGTCATGGAGTGACTCTTGGTCCCTGACACCATTTGCCGGTGGGGGCAAGGTCTGAGCAGAGCCAGGCTCGGCCTCGTGCTCTTGCCCCAGCACATCCCAGCTCCGTCCTCCTTCATGTGGGAAGCAGGAGGCTTCCCTGGCTCTCTCGCCCCGTGTGTCGGCAGCGTGTTGCATGGCTGCTACGGCCCCATCCGCCTGCGGTCAGCGAGGAGGAGCAGGGTCTGTCTCTTGGCGCCAGGGCCACCACCTCGGCGGTCTGGGGCAGGGCTGGCTAACTCCCTGTTTGTCCCTGAACCGCAGGTCAGAGTGCCAGACGAGAGGGGCTGTGTGTTTCTGTTCCCTGCCCAGGGCCTGCCCTGCCCTCCGCCGGCGATGGAGTACGTGGTAAGGACTTCGGTGGAGGGCTAGGTGGCTTCGGTGGTGGATCCTGCCTCCCCTCTTTCCCCGCTGGCAGGGCCCTGGCCTCCTCCCCAGGTCTCCACTGGCGTCTCCTGGCCCCTCTTCTGAGTGGCGGAGCGGTTGCGCGCAGGAACGCATAGATGCTGTGTGATGCTGTCGTGATGTATGGGGGGGAAAAAAAACAGCTGTTGGCTGGATTTGAGTGTTTTTCTTTGCTTCCCCCCTGCCCTGGAGGCTTGGGGATGGCTCTACTGTGGCCACTGTCGGACCGAGGCG